CGGATTTTCGCTGACAACCTTCCCTTGTTACCCATTTCCTTCCGAAGCGCACGAAACTTGTGTAAACTCATGCGCCATGGGCCAGGTATATGGAAACCACACCGTCGATTCAGCAACATTTCATAAAGAGCGGCTTTTCCGCTGCGTCGACGATATCACTTTCCTCTCCGTGGGGCACGTTACATGGTAAATATCCATGCTGGCGAAGCACACTTCCCCAAAAGAATCGTTACTTTGTCGTAATACGCATGTCTCCAACTCTATTTGCTGGCGATGGTATGTTGCGGCGTTAGACAAGCGCACGGATAGCCAATACTATGCATATACATGTGCATATACATATATCATATGAGTGTATTTAAATTACAAAGTACCGTTTTACATCTTGAATAAATTTACATCGATATTTCTGCATCTTTGAAATATATTTTTTATATAATTTACTATCCGCGAGTTTATTTCGCGTTACACAATGTCCAATTTTGGAAGATTAATCATCAAGATTGCGATTTTCGAAATTCGCGAGCTAGTTTGCTACACGTCCCGTATTAAATTTTCGAAATTGGATCCTCCGGGAGGGAAAAAAGAAGAGACTCTCTCTCGCGCGCGCGAGACGGGTAGTATCACGTACGCAATGTTATTCTTTCTCGTAGAAGCGGAAATTCACTCCAACATGCCTGGGAACGTGTATAGAGCAAAATTTTGTTTTTCATCATCGGTAGGAGCCCAATTTGAAATAATTTTGATAAAAGCTTCGATACAACATCAATAACGGTAAAAAGATCTGTCGCGTAATAATTTTTGCAATAAATATTCATTAACTCCAACGTAACAAGAGTATTTTTTATGAAACAAATGCCGGAAAAAACAGCGGCATTTTTATTATAATAATATACAGCTTTCACAAAGTAATTTGTACGAACACAATGTTTGTTCGTTGTACAAAAAATCATCAATGAAACACGGGAGATCCACGGGAGAATTCCTATTCGCGTACCAACGAAAAGAGATTGTACCGCGGCTCGCAATTCATCGCTCTCTCGTTGACCTTTTTTCCGAAAGTATGTCAAATAGGCAGACGGCGCGTCACAGTAGCTCTCGTTTTTTTCAAAACGCTTTTCAACGCAGCTCGCGGCTGTCTCGTGCTATTATCCTCCCGGCACATAACAGAGAGAAGATCACGCGAGGCACGAGAACTCGGGCGCACGGCGGGACGACAGGAGCGATCCACAGTTGCCACCACCCTTCAAGACTCATAATGCACCGCGGGTAGCCCAAGGGAAATTTAGCGGACGCCGTGAAAACCGTTGTTTTATACGCTTATACCGACATACACGCGAGACTAGATCCTACGTACGTACGCAGATATGTATTGTATAGGTAGGTAGGTGTACATATAGGTAAGATAAAAGCAACCGTGTACCCGAGCGTCGAGTAACACCGTTAACGTTAACTCTATGAGCTACGGACACAAGAAAAATGGAAGAGCACGTGCGGTAAAGATGGCCGTGAAGCGCGCGGACTCTGTATTTGAGTATAAATGTATAATGTGCGAAAAAAAAAGGTCTCGTGCGCACGGCGAAGGAGTGCCACTTCGGTTGCCTGCAAATTTAATTAGCATCTCTGTCTGCTAGATACATTGACCTCGACGCAACGAAATTACTCTCACCTAATCATCCTGAAAGACGGGCTTACGCGTGCGGACATTAATGACGTCCCGCGAGATCGGTTAACAGGAATTTCGATTTGAGTAATTTAATAAAGAAAATCAATGCGCTCTCAGAGTGTAAAATTCTATTGCGGCAATGCAAATATTCTGCCGTGTGTGTGTGTATACGTTTTATATCGCGGATACGCCAAAGGGATTGGCATCGGCGCGCGCCGATTCAAAATCCACGCAGTGAAATTTCAATACACCTTTCTACAGTACTACTGTCCTAGATTCGAAACAGGCAGAATCTCACCGCAAAAAAATGTATTAAAAATACGAAAATTTTGAAAAATTTTAAAAATGCATAATCGATAAAAAAAAATTCACAAATATAAATATATATATCAAATAGCTGAGTGATTCAATTAATTACAATTATTCTGTGCATCAGTGATATGTAAAATATATTAATAAAAATACGCAATGGAAAATAAAAAAAATAAATATAAAATGTACACATTTTTCCTTACAATCAAATATATAATTGATCGAATATGATGACACAGTAAAGTTAATGCACCTTTCTAATGCGTTACTCTGCATAAGATTCTCAGCGAATTTTGCGAGAAATGTCACAGTGAAGTGAAGAATATTCGAAAGAGAGGAGAAAAGGATAGGCACCGACTTTCCATTTGTTCTTTCGCATAAACTCATTTCTCTATTCCGCGAGGCTGACGCGACCAGCTAGGACGGTAAATTAGGGACTGCATAATATATTCCCTCCCGTGACGGCAGCACAGAGTGAAAATTCTGCTTAAAAATTTAAAACTTGGAACGAGAGACCTAATATGCGCGCCGTGTGAACTATCGCTCATAAGGCTAAAAATGTAAGGAAGAGAAATGACTCTTATGACAGAAACTCAGAAATTGGACGAGGCAAGATAAAGGTTTCGTCAAGTTTGATAACGGAGTGCCCGCCACTTTTGTTTTGCATACCGCGTTTGCTTTCTGAGCACTGCATATGAAAGAACAGCAGTAACATTTGTGAGAAACATCACAAAAACAATAAATGTTATCCAAGCGCTTTTAAAAGATACACATACATCAATATTTTATACTGCGTGCTTGCAAAATATTTTTTTATTTTCTGTTTTCGAGATTTACAAATTATCATAAATTTTTCTTGCTCCAAACTTTTTAATTTTTGTTAATATTTTTGCGTATTATTCAAACAACTAGAAAGAAATTTATAAAGAAATATATGTAATAAGAGATATAGTAATTACGTTCTCTCTAAAAACACATAAAAAACCTTAATATTTGATCCTCGACAAACGTTTCCAATAAAAATGAAGATATCCACGTAGGTGGAACGAGAGAGATCATGTGACAAGTCTGCGCTTCAGATTAATCGCGAAATCCACGAAGTTACTGCTTGATAAATATTTTCTACTGTTTTCCAAATTGCTCCCGTATTGAGCCACTGAGCAAAACAAATAAAGTAGTAATGGCCGATTGAATGCTTTATTCGAGGTTTTTACAATATATTCACCTTTTATCTCGCACTTATGTTAGATGAAACTTTCAAATAAATTTCATCAATTAATGCAGCCAGAAATGATAAATCAATAAATCGGAAATCGCGAATTTGCGGAAATAGGTTGTATGACATCCAAAAATTGAGAGCCGAAGTATTTGGAAAAATTCGACCATCGTCAGGAAAGAGAGTGAACGGATCAGCGCTTCCTCCACGGTTGACAGACTGGAAAGGAAATCCATTCGCGATTCGCTCAGTTTTAATACGCTCGGACAGCCGGCATACATGCATCCGTTTCGGCTTTCCGGTACCCCGACCGGTCGCGTTGTCCTCCCTGGCAATTTCCTCCGTCGCTGGCTACCTCCTCCGCAAATATTCTCGCCGATCCTTCAATACCTGGTCAATGATGCCCGGGATGCTATCCAGCGGAAACGGCGCTTTCTGGAGCGCGAAATTGCGACGTGACCTTTCTCGTTCTACATACGCTGATATCTTCGTTCTTTTTTTATTTTCTCTCGGAAATATTTAATCGCCTATCTCTTGAAGAAACAGACAAAATGTTGGCGCAGAGTTCACCGGTATATGAACTACGGAATTATTTCTTCGCCAACGCGACGTCTATCATTATTTTACGCGTCACAAAAATAAACTGTCTGCATTGCACTGCCTTTTAAATCGTCTTTAAATAAATGATTATTTTTTATTAAATTTTATTCATATTAAATGCAAAACAAGATATAATAATTTCATTTTCAATTAAATGTCGACATACATAGTTGCAATATTTTAGTTTTTATAAAAATCGATATATTATTATATTTTAATCATAATTAAATTCTGAAATGCTTTTTCTCCATAATTATAATTATTAATCGATTATTAATTTTTCAAAATCATGTACACATATATACTTTTGCAGTATACATCGCGTAATGTAAAAACATGATTTAGAAAATTGTCGAAGTTAAACACAGACGCAATGTGCACTATATATGCGGTAACGGTAATACGTGACCGTATATACATTTCTTGGTAAAGGACGGGCTCTCTACGAAACGCAATTACCTTTCGTGTCGCACCGGCGTCAGTCAACCCTGTTATTTGTAAGTAAAACGGATTTCCTACGTCGGAAATAACCACTCAAAGTTATTGATAACGCAATATAAGGATAGTAATAACGTAGAAATCTTGAAAATGAAACTCGTTGCATCGCGATGCGACTTCTCAACATCAGATTAGCCGTCGCAAATATCGGTAATGAAAAGTAATTTTTTCTCATCTACGTTCGTTTACATAACGAAATTACCAATGAATTAAACGAATGTAAAATTAATCTCTTTTCTTTGTTCGCTCATCCGTATTAACTTTTTATTCATATTACGGAAATATACGTATGTCGGGAAGAAAAATTTTATTTATAAAAGATTGATTCTGATCCTGTTAAAAAGAATGTAAAATTTTATTATTTAAATAATTTAAATAAAATTAAATTTTAATTGAATGATTCGTAATGTCGATTCGTAATAAATGATATCGAAATATATCAATAGTGATTTATTATCACTATTTATATGATATAACCAACCCTTTACAATTTATAAATCCAGCATTGTGGAGAAAAATTCGAAACAAAATTAACAATTGTAATGCACACGACATACATCTTATAAATGCGATTATTCAAAATAGTATCGATACTACAGCTGACAGCTGATTATAAAGAGTTCAAAATGTTATTTTATGCTGAAATTCTTCCGTTCGCATGACGGAAGGTACAGGTGGCAACTATCCGATCAGTATTTCGTGTTTTAGGGCCGCCGTTGTCAGTGAGAGCGATTCTCGGTGGGACGGCCGTGTTGCCATGCGACATACATTCACCGCAACGCAACGATTCAGCTATCTTAATCGTCTGGTACAAGAATGACGTCGTCCCGATCTACAGGTAAGCTCTTAACCTTTACTTTTTATGGTTGTCAAGCAGAACAGCTAGAAATTAACACACAATCGCACGCGAGGAGTTGTTGAATGGCGGAATTACATATGAGGTCGTAATTTACGTATATCTAACACATTCATTCTCACTTAATCGACAAAAGGGTTCCTGAGAATATTCTAGAAATTATCTTTTAAAATGATAGTTTAAATTGCTTCCAGCAATTAGAAACATTTCAGAATTAGTTAAAAATATATCAAAAATACAATATTAAATTGATCAAATTTTTAGAATATAGATTCGACCCGTATTTAATTTTATAATTAGTTTTTTCAAAAAATATTTGAATAAGAATATCTATCTATTTATATCAATATTGTCGAGAGAATATTAGCACGAGCAAAACGAATGTATCAGAGAAAAACAATGTTTTATTCAGTGGTATAATGATTAATTATTTCTTTCCGCCGACTCATTCGCTCACTTTTATCACTTATCTCTTCCTCCTGCATCGGGGTTAAGTTATCATTACGGTATATGATCGTATAACAAGCGCCCTAGATATACAATGTGTTCCCAAACGTAGGAAAACGCCCTGTTACAAAATTATCGACAAGCATAATCAAACAGACATGTCACGGAGAGCCACTGCATTCCATTGCGTGGTATAATGGATAATTATTTCTTCCCGCCGGCTCATTCGCTCACTTTTATCACTTATCTCCTTCATTCCGTATCGGGCTTAAGTTATCACTGTGCGGCGGCATAAAAAGCGAGCCACCCTGAATATACAACGTGACCCGTGCTCGTTAAACGTCACGATAAGAGCGACGATAGGAAGAAGTCCCGAGCTTGGTCCACGTAAGCGATATTCACGCGTGCGGTCACTACACTCGCGTGTACCGAAGCGAAGCCGGGGCCCGCTTTCGTGTGCGGACTGGACGTCGATTTTTCGATGGCAGCGCCCGATACCGACCAGCCAGCCGCTTTGCGAAAATGTGAGCTCGCTCGAGCACGAATCCAGCGAGGCAAAAAATATACAAACCAGGGGTGGCTAAGAGTGACTTTCATATTTACGATCTCTCCACAAACATTCCACCGGTTGAATAATCATTGTGAACGTATTAAACGCGGGTGTGTATGCATGAGCTAACTTAAATTACAGGTCTATCATTACGAGGAAACACCATAGAAAATTAATTTGTTCGCGTATATTTTTTAATCTTTTATCATTCTACATGAAATGGAAACGAGATATATAATATTTCCCTTAATTTGTTCTTTAGTAATGTTAGTAATGCTTCTAATCGTCTTCAAAAATGATTACGTTCAAAACCCGAAAAGCCCGATATTAAGGTAAATTTCTCGCAGTTGCATGAAAATGCAGTTAAACGCAGTTCTGTGAAATATAATCAAGCATCTCAAACACCAACTCCAGCATCGGTGTAATTAACTCTGTGTTAGCATAAAACAAATAGCAACTGAGTTACGAATCGGTTATACTAGAACTTTCTAAACTTTCCTAGGTCGATTTAGCTTCGAATCTAAATGTCTCTTGCATCTTTGATATTGCGCCAAACTTTAAACGTAAATAAATAATGTAATAACGGAGCAAATATAAGTTTAAGTGAATCTTCAAAAACGTTTGCTGCACACTATTTCTCAAGATCCTCGAATAGCAATTTGAGGGCCATTTCGTTACTCGAAAATGTTGTAAATATTATTCTTCGATCGTTCGAGGAAAAGTACTCGCGCGAAAGCTGGTTACTAAAAGATTGCTCCTTGGCACACCGACGTGCCGGATAAAATCGCCGGATCACGAGTCGCAATTCACAACGTCGAATTGAAAGTCCGAATGAAAAATCGATGAACCATTTGTTACGTTTACCGCGGTACGTCGACCGTGATTAAATCGGTAAGCATAGTCACTCATAAGATATATTTCTCTACTCCGCGCAATTCGCAGTCTATCGTTTATGTAAAGTTGCAGACAAGATGAACGCGCACCGGATCTGTTGATTTTAACGCGCTGTTTTTTTAATACGCGTAAAGTTCGCCCCCCAATATTAGAAATAATTAAGTTATTTTACATGATTCAATTGCACGCGATTGCACTTCTCTTATTTTCGTTTATACACCTCTAGTAAAAAAGTAAAAAAATTTGGAGGGGCCAATTTCACATTAGCCCCCCAATTTTTACAAAAATAGTTTTCAATCAATCTAATTGATAGATTTTCGTTTGCACATTTATACACAGTTGACCATTTTTTAATGTGAAATTGGCCTCCTCAAATTTTCTTTTTGAATAACTTTTTCTAGAGGTGTGCAAACAACAACAAAAGAAGTGCAATCATGTGCAAACAATGTGCAATCGAATCATGTAAAATAACTTAATTATTTCTAATATTGGGGGGCTAACTTCACGCGTATGCTTTTTTACCATATATTCTATGCTTAAAATGGAAGTCACGCATATAAACACATCCCTATTCCCATACATCCTATAGAAATCACACATGTGCTCGGAATTTTCATGGATGAGAAGAAAATATATGAAAAAAGTTTTTATCTAAAAAAAATCCATTTTCGAATAAGCCGATACTAAAATATTTTTTACAAGCTCTTCAATCTCTTAAGATGTGCGACATAAAAGTGAAACAAATAAAAAATTAAACAAATTGTTAAAAAAAAGTGTAGTTGAAAAGAAGAAGACAAACTTTGTAATTAACATAAACATCAAGCTGGTTATCACCGGAGGAGTTTTTGAATGTAATTCCCATTTGCGTGTTACAGTAGAATAAGGGAGCTTTAACTCGGCTTGAAACAATCGTTACGAGAGAGAGAAACCATGAGTGATACTGTAAATACTAAATGTATACACATCCGCGGATAGTTGGTGGTGCATATACATACAAATTAGATCTTGGGATCTACTGTTTACAGCGTCAAGAGTGGCCTCTGCTCGGATCATTGTTTTCAAACCGACAATTAGAGTCCATAGTTGAAGTTGCTTGTTCGAGTTTCTCAGTGTGCCTGCACGACAGAGTTTTGCACTTTGTGTTTGTTGTGTCTCAGATGCAAAAGGATCACGAAACGCTATGCCAAGGTACAAAAGCCACGGCATAAGTGCACGACTGTGTTGTGTGTCGTCAAGCAGTTATCCACGGTCGCTTATTAATTCATAGGCCATTGAAAGACCCCGCGCGATCTTAATCAGATTAATCGCGTTTCGACACACCGGCGCGACTTGTCGCTCTTTTCATTACGGTAATGTGACTGTCGCATCAACTAATGGAAACACGCTCATGGCAGCCATGGGAATTATAATGCGTATAATGCGTAAGTAAACGTCTATGTACTTTCGCCGTTAATTCCAGCAGACAATCGTAAATGTTCATATACCCACGCTCGCCGTCGTCGTTGATGCCCTTGATGAATTCTGTCGCGTGAGTCACTTGCCTCGAGTATGTCGTCCCTTCCGGAATTGCTCCAGTAAAGCGCAGTCGTGAGATAATGGAGTCGCATGCTAGAGAACCCAAAAGGAAAGAGAGAGAGAGCGAGAGAGAGAGAGAGAGAGAGAGAGAGAGAGAGAGAGAGAGAGAGAGAGAGAGAGAGAGAGAGAGAGAGAGAGAGAGAGAGAGAGAGAGAGAGAGAGAGAGAGAGAGAGAGAGAGAGAGAGAGAGAGAGAGTAG